GGGATTTGATGTTTTTCCCTTTTTTACTTACAATTATCTTGAAGTCTGGGCATTCTGTGGCTTCTGGTTCTGTGGAAGGCATGGCTTCTCTGTATTTTATTTGTTTTTCTTACTATCCTGCATTGTTTGTAGAGGGCAGATGGGGACACACAAACCCAGGCACCTGCTGCCGAGCTCGCTGGAAACTCTTGGGCAAGTTTTTAACTTTCGAGTTTAGTTTACTCATATGTAAAGTGGGGATAATAATTATACCTACACGATAGAGAGACTTCGTGAAGATTGCATGAGATAGTATTTACAAAGTATTTATAACACTGCATGTCATATAAATGCTCAAAAATTGTTAGTTGCCATTATTATCATTATGTTATAGATGTAATATCGGCTTGAAAACTGTGAGTACTGCTTTGGAAATAAAATACTTGATACTATCTAAAGCTGACCCTTCCTCCAGTACTGTGTACCTGATCTTCTGCCTTTTCAGGGACATGCTTTAGTGCCTGCACCACCTGTTCTTTGGTTCTTACTGACTTCCTTCTGTTGTCATGCAAACGAGCCTAAGTAAAACCCATCCTTAAGACCAATCTTGCATTTACCCATTTCCCCCTTCTAACTCTCAACCCTATCTCTCTGCTCCCTGTCACAGAACTCTTCAAATAAATAAATAAATAAATAAATAAATAAATAAATAAATAAAAGATAGATAGATAGATAGTTGCCTATACTGGTTCTTTCTACTTTCACATGTCCCATTGTCTCCCCAAGCCACTCCGTGTGACTTTTTAATCCCTAATACTCTACTGAAATGGTTCTAAGTTATTCTTGACCTCTCATTTTAAATCTAAGCATTACTTCTCTGTCCCGATGTTACTAACCCCTCAGTAGCATTCGACCTGGTGAGCAACTCTTTTTTTTTTTTTTTGGTTAGTGTTGTTTTAAATTATTATGAAATACTTCAGACATAAAAAAGTACAAAAATAATATAATGAACATATATATTGCCATCTAGCTGAAAGAGTGAAAACTGTTCTTTCAACTGAAGCCCCCAAGCATCCCTTCCCAATTGTATCCTTTCCTGTACTCCTAGATGTAGCTACTATACTGAATTGATATTTACTGTTGCGCTACTTCTTTTGCACTTTTGCTACATATGTGTTTTCTTATGTAATATGTGGTGGTTTTCATGTTTTTAAGTCCCATATTAAAGAAATTATTTTCACATATCTTCTTTTGCAATTTGTTCTTTTCATTCAGCATTTTGTTAGGAGAATCATTAATGTTGCCATGCATGGCCCTGGAATGTTTATTTTCACTACTGTATAGTGTTCCATTGTATGAATAGACTATAATTTATGAGTTATCCTATAGATGGACACTTCAGTTATTTTTTATTTTTCTAAAGATTTATTTATTTTAGAGACAGAGTTTGAGGGGGAGGGGCAGAGGGAGAGGGAGAAAGAGAGAGAGAGTAGACTCCCTACTGAGCATGGAGCCTGATCCCATGACCCTGAGATCATGACCTGAGCGGAAATCAAGAGTTGGACTCTTGACAGACTGAGCTGCCCAGGTGCCCTGACACTTCGCTTATTTTTACTTTTCAGTGTAACTACTAGTCCTCCTAGGAGCATTCTTTTTTTTTTTTTTTTTTTTACACTAAGTATTTTATTGTATGCTGCTGCCAGTGTATATATAAAATAATTACCCTTGTGAAATAGAAATTTATGAAAATTCAGAGAGGTAGATGTTAAGGACTGACAAAAGTAGAAGTTTATATAGTATGGCATGTGTTACAGGGATAATAAGCTTTTGTACAGGCTTCAAATTTAATTCTCCTTTGATATTCACTGGTTCATGAAAAGTGGTTTAGAAAACCATCCAAAGATTCATTTTACTACAAAAAGGAACAGACTTTTTGGGGTCTGAAGGGATTCGTACTTGAAGATACACCAGTTAGCAGGGGGTCGTGTTGGGCATTCTGCAGACAGAATTGTTTCAAATCTGCAGCTGCCTGGGAAACCTTCACGCGGTTGAGCCCGGCTTCCAGCCGGAGCTGTTGAACCACTTTCTTCATAGCGGCGACGCTGGAGGAACCAGACATGGCGCTCTCAAGAGCGGGCAGATTCGTCCGTGCGTGGATCGGTCGGTTCGTGGGTCCGCTGGGCCAGATGGTGGGGCAGCGCGGCCGGAGCATTCTTATAGATACCTTCTTGTATGTGAGTTTCTGTTTGGTGATAGCTAGAAGTATAGTTCCTGGGTCAAAATGTATCTAACTAGATTCTTCTTTTGAAACACCTTATTCTAGGCTTCCATCATACCCCCCACTTGTCTGGTTTTCATTTATTTGGTAGGCCAGATGTTCTCAATCTCATTTTCTGGATCCTCATTCTCTGTATTATATTGTCCTGGGGCTTTGTCCTTAGCTGTCTTCTCTCTGCCCAGCTCTGGCTTGATCTACCCTCATTTATCCCCTATGCTAATGCCAGGTTGATTTTTATCAAATGCAATCCAATCATATAACTACTTTGCTTAAAGTCCTTCAGAGGCTCCCTTCTGTTTCACCATTAAGCTCCCTAAGTATCTCAACTCCTGCTTTTCTCCAAAGGATCCAGAAGATCATCTCTCCTTGTGGCTTCTCAACATAGCAGGCTGGGCTTTTGATCATAGTATTTTCTTTGTTCACAATTTTCTTTCCCCTTACTCCTTACCTGCCTGGTAAACTTTTGCTCATTTTAAAAGATGACTTGATTTTCTCCTTTTCAGGGAAGGCTTCTCTGACACATTTAGGCAGAAGTAAGAAATTCCTTCTCTCTGTTTTCCTGGCGGTTTATTCATTATCTCCATTATAATACTTGGTTCATTTACTCAACAAATCTTACTGATGGCCTACTGTATGCTAGAAACTGTTCTAGATATCGGGGATAGAAGAGTAAACAAGACAGGTCCTTATTTTCAAGGAGTCTACATTCCAGAGAGTACAAAAGAGAAACAAACGAGTAAAGAAACAGTATCATTTTAGATTGTTCTAAGTTGCAGTAGGATAAACCAGACTGTGTAATAGAGAGCGTGTTATGCAGAGTAGGGGAGAATGGCAGGATATTTCAGATTCAGAGAGATGCCATTTGAGTTAAGATCTGAAAGGTAAGAAGGAGCCAGCCAGGCAGAGATCCGAGAGAAGAAGCTTCTAGGCAAAAGGAACAGCAAGTACAAAGGACCTGGAGCTAGAATGAGTTTTATGTTTCACGGTGTATATTCTGATCTCTAAAGTCTGAGATCAGAGTAATAGCATGGTTGGGTTCCAGTAAGGTCTTCTTCCAAACTGTAGACAGCCAGCTTCTCCTTGGATCCTCACATGGCAGAATGAGGGAGAGGGAGCTCTTGGGCTTCTTTTTAGAAGGGCACTGATTACCCTCATGGCCCAATCCCCTCCCAAAGGCCCCATGTCCAGATACCATCACATTGGGATTAGATGTCCACATATGAATTTTGGTGGGACACAGTCATTCAGTCCATAACAGAGGTGGGGGTAGATAATTTGGGAGCTACTAATTTGTCAATTATATTTTAATGCTATGAGACAGGGGAAAATAATGTAGATGGAGAAGAGAGTGAAGGGTGGAGCTTTGGATGTTGCAGTGTGAGAGAATGAGAAGTGGTGGGGTAAGAGAGCATCCTAGGAGAAAATAGAAGGGAGTATCCGTGGTGTTGTGCTGCTTAGAGTTAGAACACAGTGAAGCCACAGATGTGACCCCTGGATCTGACTCCCTGGAGGTCACCGCGACCATGGCAAGAGCACCTGTAGGGCATTCCAGTGATCAGAAGGTAGAAGTCATCTCCTTACTTTAATTAACTGCTTACATATCTGTCTTCTCCTCTTGAGCATGTGCTAGTCCTTTTTATTTCTAGGGCTTAGCATATACTAGATGGTGGAAGAAAGTTTGCATACAGGTTTGAAGTTTACAGTACAGTCAGAAGAGTAACATATCGTTTCACCCTCATTTAGAATGCTTTTAGACCACTGCCCCTTCCTGCAAGTTTCTGTTCGTTTAAGGAATATAATAATGTGAATAACTACTTAAACAAAACGTGCTGAGAGAGGCAAGTGCATTTTAATAGAGGTTCACAGTGCCTCCTGAAGCCATCCTGAAGTAGCACCAAAGGGTCTTGCTTTGGATTCAGAGGGCCTGCCTGAGTCTCTGGCTCCATTACCTAGCCCAGCTGAAGGAAGGTGCTAGGGCAAGTCCTCCACACTCTGTGGATTGCAGCTCCTCAGCTGTCATATGTGGATATTAACAACTTCCTCTTACAGGAATTTTTTTGTGAGCAGCAAATGAGCTAATGCACACGAGCCCGTTGCAAGTAAAAAGATACTCTGTAAGTGCTATTTTTGTAAAAATAATTGGATTTTCCATTTCATTACTGACATATAAAATAGATTAGATCACAGTGTAATAAAATTCGTATTTAGGCAGTGGCATATGAATGGCAACAAGTTGGGGGAGGAACTAGATCACTGGAAAGTGTGATACTTTTCCAGAAATATATAGGAAATTAACTTCTTTTGGCTTTGTTCTCTTATCTTTCCCAGATAAATCATTCTGTTAGAACCAAAGCGTAGACTCTTTTACTTTAAGATCTAGTGGGCTCTTTGCCCCAGTGTTGCGTATATCTGCAAGAACAAAATGTAGTTAATATTGCTTGGGCTTTTTTCCCATTTTTTCTATTTCTTTTTTTAATGAATACATGGACTTGAATTGACACTTTTTTAAAAAAGATTTTATTTATTTGTCAGAGAGAGAGAGAGAGAGATACAAGCATGGGGGAAGGGCAGTCAGCGGGAGAGGGAGAAGCAGGCTCCCTGCTGAGCAGAGAGCCCAAGGCGGGGCTGGGTCCCAGGACCCTGGGATCATGACCTGAGCCGAAGGCAGACGCTTAAAGACTGAGCCACCCAGGGGCGCAGCACATTTTTTTCATGTTGATTACTCATTTCATTTTACTTCTAGGGTAAAAATCATGGTAAGAAACTCCGAAATTACTATGCAGCTAACAGCTGTCCTCCTCCTGCCAGAATGAGCAGTGTGGTAGAACCTGCGCCTACTCCAGCTGTTCCCGTCCCCCCGCAGGTGAGACCCATGTATCAGGGTGGGAGTGGTCCTCTGCACACATGCTCATGGATGAAGTTTGTCATCCAACGGGCCCAGCAAGGTACAGTTGGGCAGATACTCCTGCAGGGTTCTACTTGGCACTTTTAACTCCTCAACCCGTAGTGCCAGGTTTAAAGCATGCCAACATCCGTGACCTTGAGATTTCTCATCGGCTTTGGTTGTGATGCATGAAAAGAAGGAAGAAATACTGTTACGTGTGCCTTTTTTCTTGGCATGTCTCAGAATTCTGGGTTAAAAGACCCTGAATGTCTAGGCTATGCCCTGAATGAAAAGAGTGGTTTTTCAACATTTATTTCTTTGTTGTAGTTAATCCCGTTTACTTTATATTTGCCTTCCAGCAAGGTCAGTTTTTTGAGATTGCCCCTTTCTTACCTCTATGGAGAGAGACTGTATAAACTTTTTCTGGACTTTAGTATAATGACACACACTTGAGATCCAAGTTCCGTTCACTGGTAGATAAAGTACGTTTTTAGGCAAGATAATGCTGTACTTTAATAGCCTCTGAAATATGAATTGTATTCCTTAATCTGTCTTTGTCCACAGAACAATATGTGGTCATAAATAATAATAACTCTAATTGAGTACTTACCCTGCTGAGCACTCTGCTAAGCACTTTTCATACATGGCTTCATTCAGGGCTGGGACTAAGGTGAGGTGAAGGATGCACTTGACTGAGGCACAAAATTTAAGAGGGAGCCAAAACACTCAGTAGTGAAGATAAATATTTTAATGTAATATTTTAAAAATCAAATTAATATGAAAAAATCAGTGGTAAACAAAATGTCAAAAACTTAGAGCTGGGGTATTACTGATTTTCCTTTTGCCTCAGACTGCAGTATGGCTTGGGATGGCACTGTGACTGATCCTGTCTTTATTTAAAATCTTGATATTTTGTTTACAATGACTTCTTGTATTAGGTTTGATTTGTATAAACGGTCCATTAACATATTATTTATCTTGATTGCTGAGATTTTTGATGCACTCTTAAATTTCATGCCCATGGTAAATGCTTGCCTTGCTTCCTTCTAGTCCTGGGCCCTAAACTTCATTTCATGCTTCCAAGAGCTTAGAGGTATTGGCCTTATTACTTGGAATGTAATTCATGGGCCAGCAGCATTTGTCTCACTGGGAAGTTTATTAGAAGCTCAGAGAAGCTAAGAAACTTGTCCATGGTGTTATGCATTTTGTGAAATAGTGGAAGAAGAATTTCTTTGACCTTGAACCTCTCCTCCTAACCACCAGGGTGTAAGTTTACTTTTCCAAACATCAGTTTTCCAGTCTTTAAAATGTGGATGGCAATACCAGCGGTTCCTCCATCCTCACGAATTTGTGGGGTAAATGAGAGAGGATAAAAACAGAATCAGAGAACAGGAAAATACCCAGACAGATCTTCAGGCTGAGTCGTTTTCAGGGCCCTGATTCCTGCTCTGGACAGGACAGCCGCTTCCAGCTTGGGACTGTTTTCCCCAACCCCTCCCTGAGCAAATAGCCTTTCCTAGCATAGCCCTTTGTGGTTTTTGGAGACTGCTTTTCTGTCCCCCAGGAAGTCTTCCCATCCTGGTGAAACAATGCTGTTTCCTTCAGCTGGTCCTGCTAGGATATGCTTTCAGACTCTTTATTATGTATTTTATTCTCCTCTAGCCAAAGTCTAGTTTGTCTTTTTTTGTTAGCCCATCAGTATTTATTGAGTATATACTATCTTCCAGGCACTGTGTTAGGTTTCTCTGAACTTGTTTCTCAGCCTGAATACAGTTGCCTGAATCTGCTGGTTATTTTTCCCCAGTTATATTATATCCATAACTGTTTTGTAGACTTTTTGGGGGACAGAGGCTCATTTGTAAATATATGTCTACATATCCCTTCTGCATTAGGTAGGAAGCCCTATAAACAGCAGGCGTTCATTAAATTCTCGTTGATGGATTTTAGAAGGACTTTGCCTTTCTGGTAATGTGATTTTAGGCTTTCCCTATACTGCCCTGAATCTTCTATGCTTCTTTTTAAAATATTTCTCCATGGAGATAGCAACAAGCCGGTAACCGGTTTGGTACAAAGGTGATTGTAATACCAAACGATGATTGTCTCCCAGCCCTTTTTTCTTTTTCTCTTTGTTGTTGTTGTCTTTCCGGAATGCATTACATCCTCTCCTTATAAAGCTGAGTGCTTGTGGTCATACTGTCACCTTTGGTTATCTTTCAACTCTTACAAGGAATTTTGAGGGGAAGGAGGGCATAAACTCCACATTTTTTTAACTTTGTCTCTTGTGTCTTTGATGTCAGATGGGCTCCTTTAAGCCGGGAGGCAGAGTGATCCTGGCCACAGAGAACGATTACTGTAAGCTCTGTGATGCCTCCTTTAGTTCTCCGGCTGTGGCTCAGGCTCACTATCAAGGGAAGAATCACGCCAAGAGGCTGCGGCTGGCGGAAGCTCAGAGTAACTCATTCTCGTAGGTATTGCCATTTTCTCTCAGGCCAAAGTGCTGTGTAAGACTGACTGTCTTTAGAGAAAAAGAGTCGAAAGGGATCCTTGTTTAGAAGTCTCACACTTTTAAAATCTCTTTTCTCCAGGGAATCCTCAGAGGCCGGTCAGCGGCGGACCCGGAAAGAAGGGAATGAGTATAAGATGATGCCTAATAGGAGGAATATGTATACAGTACAGAATAATTCAGGTATCCTGTGGATTTCCATGTACCTTGGCTACATTCTGCAAGTGGTCTTCTTTATTTTTATTTCCTTTAACGGTAATAGATAGCCCTGAGAATTTAGGGTTAGCTAGTTGTTTTGTTCCATTTGTCTAGTGGCTTTTTAAGCCGGTGTTTATTTCAGGTCTTATTTATTATTTATTTATTTATTTTTGGTTTAGTATATTATTTGTTTTGATTTTAAATAATAGTTTATGTTTTAAGGTCTTTGATCATAGTCCCTTTATACTGCTTCTGATGTTTGCCAGCCGAGAAATGTAAAATTCATTATAAAGATGGGCTATTTGGTTTAAAGTTGCACCATGTTAAATCTCCATTTGTTGGGGAAGATAAAAAAAAAAGACTGAGCAGTGGCTTTAAACTGGGGTAGTGAATCAGAATTACTGGGGGAGTTTTTACAAAATACACATGCTTGAACCATGACTTAGAGATTTTCAGTCAGTAAATTCGGAGTGGGACCCAGGCATATGTGTGTTTTGAAAATGCTTGCTCAGTGATTCTGACATACACCTTCAGTTCAGAACTGCTGTGGTATAGGAATGTTTTCTGCATTTTCTGATTATCTCCAGTAGGGAGAGTTGAACCGAATAGCCCTTCATCCTCCCCCTGCCACAGCCTCCAATGCACACATATACCAGCAGGGGTAACTCATGTGAACAGTAAGTCAAATGAAAAACAAAAAAGTTAATTGGAAAGGCAAGAGAAACATGGAAAAAGGGACTTATAGAAAGCATAATGTAATATGATTGATAAAAGTTGAAACATATATCAGTGATTATAGTGAGTATAAATTTATTGAGGTCCCAGTTAAAAGACAAAGATTATAAGATTGGATTAAAAATTCAGCTGAGGGATGCCTGGGTGGCTCAGTTGGTTAAGCATCTACCTTTGGCTCAGGTCATGATCCAGGGTTCTGGGATTGAGTCCCACATCAGGCTCCTTGCTCAGCGGGGAGCCTGCTTCTCCTTCTCCCTCTGCTGCTCCCCCTGCTTGTGCTCTCTCTCTGACAAATTAATAAATAAAATCTTTAAAAAAAAGGTTCCACTGAGAGGTAATGAACACTGGTTGTTACATAAGACTGATGAATCACTGAACTCTACCTCTAAAACTAATAATACTCTATATGTTAATTAACTGAATTTAAATTAAAAAAATTTAAAAAACAAAACAAAAAAATAAAAAAATCAGCTAAAATGAAGGAAGCTGAGATAGCTGTGTTAATATTAGATAAAATAAACTTTAGGACAGAGGGCAGTTTAGACTGCATTTTCTGGCTGGAGTACAATTAAATGAGAGGTCAATAACAAAAAATATATTTAAAAAAAAAACCCTACAAAATTTCCATTTGTTTGGAAATTTTACAACACTTCTAAATAACTCCTGGATCAGAGAAGAAATCATACTGGAAATTAAAAATTCTTTTTTAAAAAGATTTTATTTATTAGAGAGAGAGCACTTGTGCATGAGCACGGGGAAGGGTCAGAGGAAGAGGGAGAAGCAGATTCCTAGCTAAGCAGGGAGCCTGAGGCTATGAAGGACTTGATCCTAGGACCTAGGACATGATCCTAGGATCATGACCTGAGCTGAAGGCAGATGGTTAACCGACTGAGCCACCCAGGCACCCGGAAATTTAAAAATTCTTAAAGTCAAACAGTAATAAAAATATATTAAGCTTTGTAGGATACAATGAAAATATTTTGAGAAAAGTCTTAAATATTTATTATAGTAGAAAAGAAAGAGAATTAATAAGCAATGGTCCAACTTAAGAATTCAGTTATATAACTGGGTATTTACCCAAAGAAAACAAAAACACTGTTTTGAAAAGATATATGCACTCCTGTGTTCATTGCAGTGTTATTTACATTAGCCAAGATATGGAAGCAACCCAAGTATCCCTTGATAGATGAATGGATAAAGATGTGGTGTGTACACACACACACACACACACACACACACACACACACACACACAGTCATAATAATGGATGAGATCTTGCTATTTGCAACAACGTGGATGGACCTAGAGGGTATTATGCTAAGTAAATACAGAGAACAAATGGTTGCCAGGGGAGGGGAGGGTAGCTTTGGCAAAACAGTGAAGGGGAGTGGGAGATACAGGCTTCCAGTTATTGAGTGAATAAGTCAGGGGATAAAGATACAGCATAGGGAATATAGTCAGTGGTACTGTGATAGTGTTGTATGGTGACAGATGGGCTACACTGTGTGAACATAGCATAATGTATAGAGTTGTCACGAATCACTGTGTTGTTCACCTGAAACTAATGTAACAGTGTGTGTCAGCTATAAAAACAAACAAAACTCCCCAAAAAACAAAAAAAATTTCAATAAAAACAAAACCCCCCAAACCTAAAATACATTAGTTATAATTTGGTTTACCTACAGATATGTCACATTGAGTATTTTCAATGCTGAAGGAGAATTTATTCAGTTAATTATAGATTAGCTTTTTTTTTTAATGCAACAGGCCAGTAAATTCAGTTTAACATAGTTAAAAAGAAGTCAGTTATGTAAAAAGAAAAAAAATTACCGATAATTCCACCATTTTTGTATATGTCATTCCCATCTCTCTGTGTATTACTTCTTTGTTTTTTTTTTTTAAAGATTTTATTTATTTATTTGAGAGAGAGAATGAGAGAGAGAGAGCATGAGACGGGGGAGGGTCAGAGGGAGAAGCAGACTCCCTGCTGAGCAGGGAGCCCGATATGGGACTTGATCCCGGGACTCCAGGATCATGACCTGAGCTGAAGGCAGTCGCTTAACCAACTGAGCCACCCAGGCGCCCTGTATATTACTTCTTTGAAGTAGAAATGTGATTATATTTTGTGATATTCTTGTTTCACTTAATAGCATAATCACATTTTCATGTAATCAAAGAAAATCAAAGAGTTTTCATTACTTACATTGACTGCATGGTTTTCCGTTGCATTCATTACCATAATTTTTCAAATCATGTATTTGATCTCTCCCTTTCCCACATCCTCCCATAAAAACTTGTATGCACACTGATGAAATAATGTCCTTGTTGATAAATCTCCGTGCAAAAATTCTTGGTGTTTTCTTAGGATAATTCTTAGAAGTAGAATTTTTTGATTAAAGAGTTAGCATAATTATAAAACTTTTCATATAATGTTTGGAAGTTAAACAATTTTTAAAATTTTATTTACTTTTTAGAGACATTGTCATTTGGAGCTGGGGTTTGGCTCTACAGTAACCTTTCTGACAGTAGTTGGAGGAATCATTTTCACTTCTTAGCTGGAACCTGTATAAAATTGTAATTTAAAAAAAATCTATTAATTTTGCATTCATTTATAGGATTTTTTTTAAAGATTTTATTTATTTATTTGAGAGAGAGAGAATGAGAGATAGAGAGCACGAGAGGGAAGAGGGTCAGAGGGAGAAGCAGACTCCCTGCTGAGCAGGGAGCCCGATGTGGGACTCGATCCCGGGACTCCTGGATCATGACCTGAGCTGAAGGCAGTCACTTAACCAACTGAGCCAACCAGGCGCCCTAATTTTGCATTCATTTAAAGCTGAGAGTCCGTGAATTTTATAATCTGAGCTCAGCATGGCAAATTACAGTGATAATCAGACTGTTGTCATTTGTTTAGTGAATGTTTTGAAGTGGATACATCATTTTTATCTCTTGCTTTAGCAGGTCCTTACTTCAATCCCCGCTCTCGGCAGAGAATCCCGCGTGATCTGGCCATGTGTGTTACCCCCAGCGGCCAGTTTTACTGCTCCATGTGTAATGTTGGGGCTGGTGAAGAGATGGAGTTCCGGCAGCATTTAGAGAGCAAGCAACATAAAAGCAAGGTGTCTGAACAGCGGTACAGAAACGAGATGGAGAATCTAGGATATGTATAGTGGTCGTTGTATTCAGATAGAGCAGCTTTTCCTGCCTATTGTTTGCCTTCTGTCAATATGCCCTGCTTTTGTGGTCCTTTTGATCTGAGTCCATTCCTCTGCTTAATGTTAATACGTGTAACCTGCAGTGGTACCATGAGATGTCAAGACTGGGGAAGGAAAAGAATGTGCTTCTTAGGTCATGATGCGTTTTCAGGTCAGTTGTGTTGAGTTACTTAGAGCATGTGACCTACCTACCCCACGAGAAATAACTTTTTATCTTGACCAAGTTCTGGTCAACTAGTAGCCTGATCACTTAGAGCTTTAACTATTTAAAAACTTCACCTTTTTTTGCAGTTTTAGTTTTATGTACTGTTAAGTAAAGAATTTTATTGACTTCTTACTTCAGATAACGGTAAAAACAGGTAAGCAGAGATTTTGGTTTCCTAAGTTTTCTTTGGAACCACCTCAACGCAATGCCTTGCCAGTAGGATATATGATTATAAGCAGCATTAGGGTCTTTCCCAGTACGTGTTTTCCACTTGCCTTCCCATTATTGATTGAAATGCAGATTTTCTTGGATTCATACACTTCCAGTGTGCTTGTAGACTTCCAAATGGTGAAATTTCATTTTCACTTGTGGATTTCACACATTTAAATGTGGGCTTCTTCCTTCCTCCCCCCTTCTCCCACCCTGCCCCAGTTGAATTAGCTTGTTTAATAGGCTCATTTTCATGCCCCAGCTATGTTGTGAGCTTTCCAAGCCCCCTGTTCCAATGTCCAATGCGTTTAAGATAGATATGCTATTTTTTTAAAAAATATTTTTCAGGTGGTTTTGGGAAATGTAAAGATGTGTTTGATTTTTCATTTTAGAGTTATTCATTGATAATAACATACTTATATGATGGTCTCGATTGTAAGTTCAGATCTCTTGATACTTGTTTTGGCAGACTTTTTCGATGAACTGATCCTTGGGGTTTATTTACATTCTTTCCTGTCTTGCCAGTTGGTTGGTTGCCCTGAAAAATACTAACCCCTTACTGTTTCATAGATAGAGAGGAGTTAAAAAAAAAAAAAGTTAACCAGATTTTAGTATCATCATTTCCAGCAGTAAAATACATGAATTTTGATTTCCTTCTTTATAATTCAGCTTCCTTAAATGTCATAGAAATACATTATGGATTACTTTGGTATCTGATAATTATAACAGTATTTTTGTTGTTGTTGTTTTTAAAATAAGCTCTAGTGTATGGCTAGATAAACGAATGGAGTACCCTATGAACTTTCATTAGTTGTATTTTATCTACTTACTATATTTACATGGATAAGACTGGTGCTCATCCATACTTTTTTTTGAAAGGCCACATTCACCAGGAACTTTATAATGAGCAGTATCTTTGCACTATGGTCAATTCACATTTGATTGCTTTTATTACTAATTAAAAATGAAACTCCTATTTTTTCTTTGAGAATTCTATAGGCAAAGAGATGGGGAGAAGGAAATTATAATCATCATTCCTTTCCTTTGATCTTTATGAAAACTTTTTGAGCAATCTAGATCCATATTTAAAATTCAGTTTTGGGATAACCACTGGTACAATATCAAGTTGCTCTTCTGTTGAAGTGGTGGTTTTTTGAAAAATAGAACCTACATTTTTTTTTTCCCTCCCAGAAACAGTAGAATGAAATAACATTATTGAGAGTCTATCTAGAACTGTGACTCTGAGTATAATAATCCTTTTATACAATTGATTAGGGCAATTTAGAACTTACTTTATTGGTCAATAGGTTACTCATTTTGCTGCTAAGTATAATTTGTGGGTAGAATTTAATATTACAGTGCTGGCCACTTGGTTCTATAATTATTTAAAAATCTTATTTTCCCCCTTTCTCTGTAGTCTGTGTGTGTGCGTGTGTACACACACACACATATATGTATGTATCTATATGTACTTATATACATATATACATACACACATACATATATATTTATGTGATACCATAGAGAAGATTTCATTGGATCCTTATTTCAGGTAATAGTAAAAGATCGTGGATAAGAATTTACAGTTTGTAAAAGTGGCATTTTTCCACTTTCAGTTTTTCCTTTGCAAACAAATTTGAAGGATTTCCCTCACTCTCCCTACTTAACAATTTTGTTACGTATATACAAAAAGCAGTGGACTTAAAGGCCTTGATGTTTTTCCTGGCCTTGCATATTCAGGTTTCCAGTCTCCCAGTGCCCTTAATGGATGTTATGAATGCATAAATGCATTTTCTTTAAAGAAAAAAGTTAGATTTATAGTGTTATTTCTTACTTGCTCTATTTCTTTGCACTAAAGAAGAGCTATGTGTTTGTTTTATATGACACTTTAGATACCACATTGCCTACAATAACTCGGTTTGCTCCTTAATTTCCGAACTGTAGGAAGTTGATAACTTCCATGATCATTTACAGAGGTTACATACACATCCAAAAAAAAAAAAAAATCGCAAATCTCTATGACAGTGGGTTATTTTGAGCTTGTTACCTTGCAATATTCTCCTATGCTCCATAGGTGATACAAAGGTGACAAAGGTTGTCAGAAAGGAAATACCTAAATAAATACATGTCTGCATGGTACAGTTTCTCATCTTCATGCATTCCTATTAGACAGTGTTTTTTCCCTGTTGAGGAAGGCTGTTGTTACTACCACAGTCAGTGATACGTGATCTCCATTGGTTTCCTTTTGTGAAGTCCAGTCCTGCTTTGTAATGTGCTCTAGAATCCGCACCCTGTGCTGCCCAGGAGTCATGTTAGTATCTTTTTATATGCTGTATACAAGGACGGACAGAGGCCTAAACAATGGAAGACCTTTAGTCAAGTCAATAGATTTTAGTAATCATCCGCAAGAAGCACTCATAGCATCCAAGTCTCTTTTCTCTGTGAATATCTCTGTGTAAGTTGTCATTTGAAGTCCATGTTAGAAGATAACAATTAGAAACTCTTCTTAAGATATTGAGGGCAAGAAGATGTAAAGGAAAAATTCCATGTTCCGATTAAAAGATTGGACTGCCTATGGCTTTGAAGTGTTTTTTTCAACAAGTTAAGCTACAAAATGGAAGGTGCCATGTAAATCCTTTTGGCTCCACACTGAACAGAAAATACTTTGTTGGTCTTGTCTTTGTATCTCATGTACTACAACTTGTAAATATGTGCATGTTTTTATTACATTTGTCTGCTTGTCTCTTATTGCACTGAATTCTGCAAGATGCATAATATTTTATACCATTCATTTAGAAAAAGTTCCTTCTCCAACTTTTCCTCATTATTTCCCCTCCTAATGAGTCTTAGAAAACCATTTAGGATTTTTTGAAACTCTAAGGTTGAATGAAGAACCATGGCTGTCTGAGACCATTCTTATGTTCCTCTGACTTACACAGCTGAAGGGAAGCATGAGATCTTTCTTCCACCGTATCTTACAGAACTGATATCTTGCTTATAGTTACTGTCTGCACCTTCAATGAGGGGAATGGGAGAAATGTGTTTGAGCAAACCTATATTTGCTTAAATCTTACTCTGTAGATAGATTCTAAGGATTAGCAGTGGGATTTATGATTCCTTCACTCCTGAGTTGGCTGGGACTGTGAGCACTGACAGTTTGAGGACTGTCCAGTGACCTGTGTAAAATGAGTCTTGCTTGTGTCAGGGGAGACATAACTGTGGGCATGGTATCCTCTACAGAGAGGCCTAGGGATGGTGTGAAACCTGTTTTGTTTCCCTGCTATGGGAATGTAGGCTGAAAGTGCTCTCTAAAGAACTTGGTGAGGCATATATAAGACAATAGAACTTTAGAAATAGAAATATTTTGTCAATATAGGCAAAAGTTTAGTGCAGGCTTTTGAACAAATGCTTAAAAATATTCCACCTTACCAACTATTTTTTTTTTTTTTTTAACCAGCCGAATTATTGTTCAGGAGTTTCATACATAATAGTGTTTTGTTGTTGCTTTTGCTTTTTGGGGGTTTTTCTTGGCTGTAGACCTCTCTCATCAGAAGCTGTTACTAGCAGTCTAGCTGAATGGACAAATAGCTGTGTAAATAGCTTCTCATACGACGTTTCTGCTGATAGCTGTTTGACTTTTTCTTCCCATTATGAATGGGAGGATCATTTGTAAATTCCCTTTCTGGGTAGCTACCAAAAAAAAAAAAAATACTGGCTTATGGTCCCATGTGACCCTGTCCCCATTAAGCCCAGAATATGAGTGCCTTTAGCAAGTTTTAGCATTTCACAGAGAGAAGAGATGATAGAATTATTGCCATTAATCAGAATTCATAAAACAGAAGCTTGGAATAGCAAAGGTCTGTGTAAATTCTGCATTTTTTTTTTTTTTTTGCCTAATGCGATTTCAATTTGAAACTGAGTAAAACTGTTAACATTATTGATCAGGAACCATACACCCTGAAAATAAATCCAGTTGTCCCAGGCTGACAATAGTCATAGATTATTTTTCACCTTGATCTGTGTTGCATTTATATTTAGTGAATAGTAGTATGGTGGATTGGGAAGGGCTTGACACTGATATTTGGAAAAACTTTATTCCAGTGGTCTTTTCAAAACTTGTCTATTCTGTAGGGAGGAGAGAATTATTTACTTGCAAATGAGGTGTGTGAAAGAGAGACTGTCTTTTCCACAATACTTACTAATTGTGTTAGTTCATCTCTATGTTAAAGAAAGGATCTTCAGAAATTGGGTTTGAGGCCTTAAGCAAAAATTCCCACTTCAGTTAATTTACAATTCTAAATTGCCTGAGTCTTTAAAACACACTGCTAAATTAATTTTATTGTAGAAATAGTAACATTTCCCTCAATATTTTATTATGAAAAATTTTAAACATACATTGGAGTCAAATTTTTTTTTACAAATATCCACCAGTAAATTCTAACATCAACACTTTACTAGGCTTGTATTACCACATATCTGTCCATCCCTCTATCCATCCGTCCGTGGATGGACGTTTTTAAAAATATATATTTTGGTGTGAATTTCAGACAATACATTTCCCTTAAATACTTCAGCATAGGTGTCATTAACTAGGGTTTATTATCTGTTTAAATATGACTATCTTTTAAAAAGCAGTGTATGAAGTTGATAACTGGAACCAAATAATACACATTATTTTCTCTTGTGGACTTTAGCCTTCTGGTTTCTGTTTTTATGTGTGCTTAGCGTAAAGGAAGACCACTCCTTTCCAACCTCAAGTTTTCTGGTGTTGGTCATTTTAAATGCTTAGTTGTCACACCTTTTAAAGTTCCATTAAGAATTTTTTCTTTATCCCTCTTCTATGATATATTTTTGCTGAACTATGCAGCTTCTTTAAAATAACTGTAAGTTATGGATTGGGGTTTATTAAATCAGCTTATACCTCATTTCATTCTATGGATGCTTTTCTCCATGAAACCATGTCTCTGTCATTACTTTCACTTGCTCTACCAGCACGTAGAGAGGCGGAGAGAGTCAAACCCATAGATGATTAGCTGTTTTAAACAACTCAAGAAGATTTCGTAGTTTCGAAAGTTGAAACCATTAACTTCTCTAAAGCCTTTGAATTCCCTGAGAATTGTCATTGCTCATGCTGCCTCTAGCCATAATTAGCAGGATCAAAAATGATTGTACTGTACAATGAGTTGTTGAAATTGTGAGCCTTAGTAACCATCTTTAGCTTTACTCTAGGACTGTTTAGAAAAAAAAATTTTTTTTGACACATGCCTTTATTTTTATGCCAATTTTTTTTTTGGACAAAATCTGAAGAATTTAAGTGAGTTGCTCCAGGTCATGAAGATTCAATGGATAAGTCAGAATAGGAACTTCACTGTTCCTGATTCGTATTCTTGCGCTTGTGTGATAAGCATCATGGCTTCCAAGATAACTGAGCATTCCTTTGGGGACCTTAAAATGAAAGTATGTATTTTTTACTGATTATTTAGTTTTTAGGCATTTCATGATTCTTTGAACTTAAAGATTTTTTTTTCATGGTCATGTCCTCATTAAGCCAATGTAATTGCTAAAAACCTCACTTCACTGTTGAATACCAACTAATAATGCAGGTTTTATCAGGTTTCTTTTTGCATTTAATAACCTTCATGATTACTCATAACTTTCTATGTAAGTGCTTAAGTGACCCCGTCACTAGTGAAAATAAATGTTCTATATCACTGATTCAATGTATATTCTCTACATGATATATTTTTTTAAGGAAAAGTAACCCCATGTGTCAGGATGAGTGATATCCTAGGGCAAAGCACATATAAAGTTTATTTCTACTCTGCAAATCTGGCATTTACGGGAACAAAACTCTTTTAGAGTGGCTGGTCATTGTTTTGCCTTCTTTTGGTACTTGAGCACCTTTCTGTGGTTTTGTAAATCCGTGTGTCATTTTGTAAGAATTTCATGTTGATTCTGTGTTAATTGGTGTTCACC